GATGCATAAGAACTTGAAAATCAATACCAATGTTGTGGAAAGACAATAATAAAATATTTGAAATTGGGCATAATGTGTTGAGACAGCTGGGTACCTACAAGATTTGTGTGTGAGCTGCTAAATTTTGTACAACTCGCCTTTTAGAGAGAAAGGGATCAAAAAGTCTCAAAATAGTTTCTATGATTGAACCTTATGAACATAGAAGCATTCGCAACATTTCCAAATTCTGTTTGCAAAGCAGTTGTCCAGTAGTTACATATCATATGTGGTAAAAGGATTTCTTCAAATATAAAACCTACCCATTTGGTAGGTCAGACATTTGATGATTGACGGACTGTTGTGAAAACAGAAGATGAGGACAGCTCATAGACATCTTCTAAAAACAAAAATAGTTAATTTATTTATTTATGGGACTGGTTCTTTCTTCTTACTGAAGTACATAGAAAAGCTGCAACAGTTACCATGGCAAATTCAGCTTCCAAGTCGTTATATAATGCCTTTAAAAGATTCATTCCTGGAGATCTCAGCTAAACCTTATCTTTGCATTATATGGCGCTGAAATGAAAATGTTTGACTGTTTTGATTATATGAATACAGATTTATATCATTGAGTGTACCTGCAATATTACTTAATATTACTAATAGGCTGAAGGCAAAGATCAAGCAGAAGAGCCAATGGTCTGATATAAACACTATTTGGATTAAGGTAGAATTCTGTGCATCACTGCTACGACCACTGATGATCCAAATATTATATATCCTTTATCTGAGACTGTTGAAACAAGCAGAAATAAAAGCTACCACAGCGGGATACAGCCACTATTAAATATGCTGAGAAGGATTCATGTATCTCTCTATTACAGTGTAATATAAGGCCATGTGTGTCTTGGTACTAGCTATTCTGAAATTTATCTGGTTTCAGTAACAGCTGAAGGGCAAATAGTTCTTGCAGGATGAGACCCACCATTTTCTTGTTATTTTTGCTTCATAACACACATATAATCACTACATACTGTTACAGAATGAGGAATAGCCCAGGCCTTTGCCCAAGTTCTTAATTTTGTATGTCTTTTGATGTGTGTAATGTTATCACTCTTTTCCATAGAAACACAAGGAATGAAATATTTTGTATACCACCAACACATTGAGACAGCTTGTTCTGGAACAGTTCTGGTAGTAAAGAGACACAGATGAAATATAAATCCCACAAACTTTACCAAATTCATTTGTTATTAATTTAATTTCTTTCTTCGGGTTATTTAGTGTATGAATTATCTGACATTGTTTTTCTGAATAAAAAAAAAATCAACCATGCCTTGAGGTATGTTTCCCTGCTCCATCAAAATGTGTGTGTCAGTAAGTCAGGGAGAAGGGACAGCTTTTCAGACCTTACATTTTGTTGATACTGTGGCTCCAAGGATAACACAGAATAGTCCTCTCTGTGCTCTGGTTTATGCCTCCTTCCTTTGCTGCAAAGGGACTGTACCAGACTCCAGGAATTGTTGAAACACCCCAGCTCTGGCCAGGCCCCCTTTCTGGCAGCTGCACTTCCTTACTGGCAAATTCGAGAAGGGAACAGAAAACTACTGCAGCCACAAAGGACCATCAGCGTAGCACAGAAAGGAAAAGGAATCTCATTGCAAAGAAAGCCATGCTAATTTACCCTCAGTTATTTGGGTGCAAAAGCATTGAGTGCATTTTGATATCATACTGCTTGACCTTATAACTCCAACTTTTTTTCCTCTTTGTTAGGTATTCTTGGCGCCATCAATTGCGGGAATTTAAAAGTGAATATCGAGTGGTGGCCCTGGATTTGAGAGGTTATGGAGAAACAGATGCTCCTTCTCACAAAGAAAGTTACAAGTTAGATTGCCTGATAGCAGATATAAAGGACATTTTGGAATCTCTAGGTGCGGTACTAGAAGACAACCTACTTGACTCATAGATGACTTGATTTTCTAGCAAGAAAAACCCATAAAGATCTAGAACTGTTTTTTCTTAAACTGCAGTCTTTTTAATATATACACATCACAGATACATATAGGTATAAATCTAAGGATACTCGTATTTTATGGATTATTATAAATGAAAAAGGGTTGTTTTCTAATTATGATCTGTATGTCAGTATAAACAACAGGTAAAGATGATTTTTCCATCATGAGTTTAAAAAAAAAATCTTTCCTATGTGCTATGAAATTCAGCAGTACAAACCTCTGGTCTTTATCCCTAAGAAAGTCTTTGCTCCTGGCACTTAGAGGATAATGTTTTGAATTAGCACTTCCAGAACAAAGAATTTAAATCAGGTGACATTTTTCTTGCACAAACAAGGCAGAGTAAATATTGTGGGCTTTATAGAAATGATGAGAGTACATCTGCTGTATTAAAAAAAAACCAAAAAAACTCTCCCAAAATACTACTCCTGCACAGTGGTCAGTTCTCCAGAGCTGAATCGCTCTGTCTTACACAACAGAGAGAAGAGAAGAACAGAAGGGAGAACAAGGGACACGCAAATACCCAGTGTAATGGTCTAGAGCCGAAGTGAGCCTGCAAAATTTGTCCCTCCAGTTCAGTTTGAAGTGTCGCTGTTTGGGCGATAAATTGTAATACCTGGTGAAGGGTATTTCCTACCAATAGCAACACAAGGGGTTAGATTGTCATTCTCTGAGTCATTTAAATTCCCTGGATACTCCAGTGATGGTGAAATCACTTACTTCATTTCATATGAAGAAATAGTAAAGCAGTGATTCCAGTTCTGAGGTTTGAATTTAGAATTTGCTTTGATTGTGATGTTTGAGCATTGTCAAAAGATTGGGCAGGCAGTCCCCACACTGTGTTTACATTTTCCAGCCTTTGCTGGTTTTGTTAATCTCCACAGTAATGCCGTGGTTATGCTTGAGAAGTGCTCTCAGCATAATTCAATTTCATAGGGATTTAAAATTTTTTTGATAAAGTATTTCAGAGGCTTGTTATCTTTGTTCTAACCCTAAGTTAAATTCTTTTGGAGAACTTGATTATATCAAAAGTGCTCCAAAAGGTTTATATTCAAGAGGGTTTATAAGGTGCTTTGACAACTCTGTCCAAATTTTATGTCAGAATTCTAGAAATCTTGGCTTTTATATGTTTAATTTGCAGTGTATGTGCTCAGTGTTCCAATCCTCAGTGAGGAGGGTGGTGATATCTGACACTACAGTGCGTGTTCCAGCAGTGCTTAAAGAAGGAATAGTTAGACTTTCAAAAACTCAGTTGTTATCCCACATGACCCTTTTATTGCTGTTAAATACCATTTTTGTTGATGGAAGAATAAGTATGTGAATGTCAACAACTTTAAAAATTGCCAACACAACAGCTTATGGAGAAAAGCTGTGGGCCTACTAAGTGTATATATAGGTGTGCATATATATGCTATGTATATGGCTATGAAGTATAATGCCCACTTTTTGCATAATAGTGGTGTTGAGCGCTTAGATAACCTCCCATATTCAGAGAAATTCATGAGGATTAGTTTTGTTCAGGAGGGGCTTAGCAGATCGCTCCATCTTTTTGTCTGCAGTTTCAAACTCCAAACTCTCTAAACATGACAAATGTACATGCATTATAATGACTGTAATTGAACTGTCTGTCTGACCCTGTACTGGCCAAGATGTAAACAGGGTGGCAGTCTGGATACTGAGTGACTTTAGGTTGACATGGAGGTAGTACAGTTAAAGTTTAATGAAGTTCAATTAAACAATTTTAAATATTTGTACATTTTTAAAGTATACCAGTGGACTATTTTTTCTGACCATTAGTAATGGAAGCAGGGCAGTACTGAAGTTACATTAATAAATGTGCTGAACCACCTATTTTGTGCAATAATGAAATCATTATTGTATGTGATAATTTCTATGGATACTAATTCCATTGAAATAAAAGCATGTATCTGTGTTTATGTGGTAGGATACAACAAGTGTGTGTTGATTGGCCATGACTGGGGAGGAATGATCGCTTGGTTAGTGGCTATTTGTTACCCTGAAATGGTGACTAAGCTCATTGTGGTTAATTTCCCTCATCCTTCTGTATTTACAGGTGAGTTTTACAGTAGTCTTTGTTAAATCAAAGTATCTGCACTTCCACTACGATTATGTTTGCTTTGAGAACCAACTACCTGCCCCGTTAGATGTTCAGTAGATAAGTACTCCATGCTTCTCACAATCTGGGCTGTATTTTATGAAGTATCATTTTATAATGTATTTTATCGAGTATCTGACTTTTGGAAATAAATTTATTGTAGGAAGTTGGGAGCGCTTGCAACAAAATTTACTGACTTTTTTAGTAAACCTTGAAGGTCCACAAACATAATTTTCGAACAGATGAATCTGTTTTGTTCCGCTTTGGCAGGATAAAATTCCCTGAAGAGAGGGCTGTGTATTGTATTACACTTTGGTTAAGGCCTCACTGCACTATTAAATCTGCATAAACCAGCCTTTGTATACATGTGACTCAGACATTAGAATTAAATCCCAATTTAGGTGACAAGCAATAATTTATGATCTGGTACAATATTCATCGGAAGACAACAGCCTTCCAGGCTACTTACTAGATGCTACTATACTAGTACTAGTACTAGTACTCTTACTAGATGTACTAGTACTGAGCTGAAACAAGGACTGAGGTGCACTAGCAGAATTTGTTGTGTGATAGACTTTGTCTACTACCCAGAATTACAAAACATTTCATAGGGATTATATCAACATTCCATAATGAAAATGAAAGTAGTATCTCCCTAAATTCAATTTTTTCAATTGCTGGCCTTACCCATTTCCATTTAACAAATCACCTCATTTCCCTAGAAACAGCTAAGAATATTCAGTGCAGCTTTAATTTTCATTTCAGTTGAATATAAATCAGACCTTACACCACTGTAGAATCAGAACCATCCACATATGATGTTCTCACAGAGTTTTTGGGCACCTTTCTAAGATACTAAAGAACATTTTGTCAGGTAGTAAAGCCACACTTACCCCAGGAGAGGTCTGTTCATCACATGAGGAAGTAGGAGCTTTTTGCAGTATTTTCACTGACAGCAGGAGCCAGGCTGTGGAGACAATTACATTTTATTACAGTATTTGTTTGCATATTTGTTGAAGTACAAAATCTGCTCTGTAGCTTGATAAATTCTCCCTAGATCAAATTTGTTCTACTGTGGGTTAAATGAAAATATACAGTTTATAAATAGTGGAGAAAAGTAAAGTTAGCAGTGATGGTCTAGCAAGGAAAAATATAATGGGTAATGCAATTTAAGAATGTGTAAGATATGAACGTTTAGAAGATAGATGACACTTCAATTTACATTGGTTTAAACCCCATTTTTATTCATTGTCAGAATTAATATTTCAGAGATACCTCCTGTGTTGGGAATGCAGTTTTACCTTCCTGAATTTGCACCTGTAAAGAATAAGTTCTAGAATTCCTAGTACCTGTACACATTGTGTGCTTGCTTTGAGGAAGTTAGATATTTGAATGTCAGTGTTGGCTATTGCAACTCACTGAAGATATAAATTTACAATTTTTAAAAAAGAGTTAATGCATGTCTGTATCATTTTCTTTTGTTATATATGCTCCAGTGTCTTTTAAAATTACTTTAAAAAATCTTTAAAAAGTGACTCTATATAACCTTGATTACGGTTCTTGAAATTGCCAAGTAGACAACTGTTAGAAAAAATCTGTACTTCTGTGAACAAGAGTGATGCAGTCTTTAGAATGTCAGTGGATCATCATCTACAGATTTCTGTGCATCACATCATTGATGAGAGAAATACCTAAATATTTTTATTTATGCCCTTTATTCCACATCTGTGAAAAAAATGCTTTGGACTAGCTACACACATAGATCTCTAAGTGAAAACCTATAATTCGATTAAACTCCCCAGTGTCGCTGTCCTCACTTAATCTTTGGCTAACTTTTGTTTTGCTGGCTGTTTATATTAACATTTATAAAAGAACTATGTTTTAATGGCCACACCATATATTTACTCCTGAAACAATAATCATCTTTTGTCACATAGCATGCTTTAATGTAATATTTTTAAAACATTCCTTTAAGTTTAAAAAATAGTAATATTAACAGTAATTTTGTTTGAATCATCAGTTTTCATTTTTAATTCATGGGCATTTTTGTTTCAGAATACATTCTACGACATCCATCACAATTGATTAAATCTGGTTACTACTTCTTTTTCCAAATGCCATGGTTTCCTGAATTCATGTTTACTCTAAATGATTTCAAGGTGAGCAAAATGAATGCTCTTGTTTATATATTTAACAGTGAGTAATAGAATTGCCACCTACATTGATCCCTTCTGATGGAGTTCTAATTACTGGAAAAAATATGGAGCTTTCTGATTTTTCTTCTTAAGCTTTATATAAAGTAGGATATAAGTACATAGAGTTACTGAGATTAACTCTTGCACTTCTGGGAGGTGTTCAGGCACATAGTTTTAACCTCCAGCACTGCAGTGCATTACTCCACCTAGAGAGTCAGCTGGTTTTACTTGTGCCCATAACACTGGGACATAGTTGGTGCCTGTGGAACTCCTGCTGACTTATCTGAAGCTCCCATGGGCAGTGGAACATTCTCTTACCTCTTAGAGCCTGCTGCAGGGCAGGCAGACTGGGAGTCTGGCCATCACATTCAGCCAGGTGATTAATTCTGCCTGAGGAACCAAGGCCAGCACTTCGTGTAACCTTAAAAACCAAGTGCAAGCACATAGAAAGGGACAAAGCAGCTGCAGGCATACGCCTCCTACATGCAAACAGCCCAGTGCAGAGCTCCCAGTGCTGCATGCACACAGGGCACAGCCAGCTGGGGAGGTCATGAATCATCCTCCCTCCAGCCCTGTCACCTACTGGGGTCCATCCCAACAAAAAAAAGTGTGTGCCTGTGCTTGCCTTTGCCTTTCATAGGTGGCAGGTCAGGATGCAGAACTCAGTAACTGGGTAGGGTAATATTGGCATTTGTCTGTACTTGATTATTCTGAAGTAAGTTACACTAGAAATAAGTTAACCATGTGCTTTACACAGCTCTCTAAAAAAACATTTGAACCCTTCGTTGTATGTTCTCTCCCCCTGTCCAGTCACAGAAGTGAGTGATAGAGTGGCTTTGGTGGGTACCTGGCATCCAGCCAGGGTCAACCCACTACAACTCTGAACATAAACAAATTTATAAATATGTATAAGTAGATTTTAGAAAGATATGTCCTGTTGAAGGAGAGAAAACACATTTTCTAGCTATCTTAGGTAATAGCTTTTCATTCTTCCTTTTGTAGGTCCTGAAAAGTTTATTTACCAGCCAGGCCACTGGAATTGGAAGGAAAGGTTGCAGATTAACAGCAGAAGATATCGAAGCTTATCTGTATGTCTTTTCACAACCTGGAGCACTAACAGGACCCATTAACCATTACAGGACTATTTTCAGGTCAGTATAACGTTCTCAAACAGAGGAAAATATTTCTGAGAGTCCCCTGGAGCCCAAAAATGTTACTGCGGCTCCTGCCGCTGAGGCAGAGGGGGAGAACGGCAGCTCTGTTTCCGAAGCCTCCCCAGGTGCCGGGGGCAGGTACGGTAAGGCAGGTGAGGCCTCGTGTTCTGTGTGGTGTCCATACAAAACAGCAAAACAACCAGAGTGCAGATAAGGAAAATTTTTGTTTCAAAATCTAATAAAGCGAAGGCCCTCCCTCATACACAGCACCCATGGCAATTCCATAAATCTATCTCTAAATAACACTTAAAAATTAACATCAATTAATTGTTTGCATTACAATTCATATTAAGTAATTATAATATCTATCAAGAGCTTACTATTAGATAATACTACTAGATAATACGGCATCCAAGTACGTGACCCTCACTTGTAACTTTACAAAACTATGTCTGACACCCCCTTTTTACCTACCAAAAACATGGCCAGAAGGGCTTTAACTCTGTATACTCTACTTATAGAGCTAACTTGAAGGACTGTATCAAGAAGAGTGGTGTTGAACTTGTTTTTCCTTTACTGTCCAGTCTTCAGCAGTGATAAACGTCCTGCATGCTTCTCTAACACAAGACCAACTTCCCAATATTCTTTAAAATGACCATTCCCTTCTTTCCCTAAAGTCAGGCAGTAGATGTTTGAGGTAGATTAACTTTTCATTTCCCCTGATGCAAATTCAGTACCACCTTTATTGCTTTCTGTGCTATCCATGCTGTCACTGTCAGGAGAGCAATCAGCAGGGAAATACTGTGAGGAAAACAAGGATCCGAGCTAGTTGCTGTCTTGTTCAGGCTAAGAGACAAAACTGGAAGGAGAAAGTGGAAAGACAACACCAAGCATGGATGACAGTGGGCAATAAATGGGATGGCCCTGCTGGAAACAGCACACTTAGTTAAAGCTACGCAGAGAAAAGTCGATGACATCAGCTGGGCTGTCCAAGGGCGCTGGAGCTGTGTGGCTGCACAGCCGCTCCCGGCCCGGCAGCTGCTCTGCAGGAGCCCCGGGGAAGGGCTAATGAGGAGCTGGAGAGGCGCGAGCGCCCGGAGCCCTGTTGGTTACGTTGGGCACAGCACCTCGCATCACCGAGCGTGCACATTAACCAGATGCTCCTCTGACTGCAACAGTGACGTGCCTGTGACAGCTGAATGGCTGTGGGACTCAGATGAAACAAATCTTTGATATGTTTAAACTATTTCAGGCCTTTTCAGGCTCAAAAAAAGTCTAGTATCAGTTATTAATCAGAAAGTATCTTCAGAGCTGTTAATTCCTCTGTGTGTTTTGTGTGTATGTTTGTGCAGTGTTCGCTTTATTTTTCTAATGAAAGTATACCTGTAAGGAATTCAGAGAATTTTATTTTAGCTGCTGTCAGCCACGATGCAGAAGGCTTTGGACTGGAAAGAAAAGATTAGTCTTCAGCTCATTCAGTTCTTGCCACCAATTCTGATGGTCACACTTTGTCACACCTTACAGGATGTGATTTCTTAAATACTAAAACTGGATTGAAATTTTCCCTTTCTCTCATATGAGTTGTTAAGCAGCACTTGGATGCTAATGACTTGTATTCACCACAACTCCCAGTGGGCTGGTACTGGTGACCTACATGTTAAAGGTTACCAACTCATTACTATCCATTTAGAGTTTCATTCTTCAGAGCTTGATTTTTCTGGAAAATTATTTCCAAATAGATGATTGAAATAACCTACTTCCATCCTTCACCAACACATCCTTTTATAAATAGCACAGCAGCCATTCCCTTCACTATACTTTAGATTCAAACACTTTGAGAATAAAAATCATAAAGCTTTCCTGTCGTGCTTGGTTAAGAGAGATAGGTACAGAGCTGGAGCTTGAATTTCTTCTGATATGCTATATTTTTAGAAAATGGCATTAGTTATCTTACAGCAGTTAAGAAGTTACTTCACTATTTGTTTACAGAAAAGCTGTATAACAATGCTGTATGAAGGTTTGAGTCTGTTTTTCAAAGACTTTAACACTTAAGGAGTGGAACTTCTTTCTAAATGTGATATCCGCGTGTTAATTGTCATTAAAGGCAATTTCTAGAAATTTCAGGCATAATACAATTTCCCATATTCCAGACTGAAAAGACATACAGTGTAGTTCATAGGCAGTGAAAAATGACAGGTTGTTTATGTATGCAGCATGTGTAAAAAAGCCTGGTAGATTTTTTATCTAAGTAAGTCAGGCTACAAGTCTTGCAAGGCACAAAATAGGAAACCCTACAGTAGTGAAAACACCACACTTAAATAGTGAAAAGACCCAGGATACTGGATTTTAAAGGTAAAAAGGTTAGTCTAAATGCACTGAATGAGATCATCAGATTATCAGTTTTTAAAACTGGTACTATGAATAAGCTATGGTTCAGTGGCTGAGGTCAGGGTGTTTGCAAAATGAGATTTAAATTTACTGGTAAAAAAGGAATTTTAAGAGTTTTCCTAATTCATCAATCAAAATGAAATTAAATTATCACTGAAAGTGATCTTTTATTAACATTTTTTGACATAATGTGTAAGTAGAGGAAGAACATCTTCAAAGCCTCCACTTCTTTGTCTTATTTTAAACTAATGCAAGTCATCTTCTTTGTCTTTTCCTCTTTACAGAGCATAATCTCTTAACTAACTCCTAAGGTTAAAACTAGTACTTAAGTATGTCATAAAAGTTTGTACAGAAAATCTTTTTTATACATTACTGGTTTAAAATATTCCTATTTGTGCATTAATATAACGAAGATTTGTATCTGATCAGATGGAGTCTGTTTTGAATTGTCACAGTCTGTTACTATATGTGACTAAAATTAAGCAATTCAATCTTAGATAAATTTTTCAGCATCTCTGAAACAGATGTGCTGGAATAAATTTGGGTGGGTTAATGGTGAAATAGTCTTTACTTTCTAGTTACTTGCATCTTTCTTAATACGTGTAATATAAGGTAATATTTATTAAATATTCAATTCTAAATAATTGTATTTAAAAAATAATCTTTTTATTGAAAGTTTAAGTAGGTCATTGTGATAGTATCATGTTTATTATAGTTTTTCTTTCTAAGGGTTTTTATTCAAAGTGTTCTTCAAATGTCTTATAATGTATTTATCTTTAAACGCTTTCTAGTCTGACAAAACTCTGGGTTGTGATGTTGCAGTTTTAGAGAGACTATGACTTCATGAAAAGTAAATCTTTAAGAAACAGTTTTCCTTCACTGCATGTAAAAGATGTAGGTATGTAAGTCCTAGGCCTTCAAAAAATACTGTGGTGCTTTGTAAAGGGAACTCTGAAGCATTTTGAATGTTGCATGAATTTCATACAGTGAATGTAACTGAATTCAGTTCAGCATTTCAGACATCAATGTTCTATAGAACATCTTATTTTACAAATATTTTTATTTTCAGCTGTACTCTATGATATTTAATTTTTAATAGGTCTGAAACACTCTAGCTGGTATCTTCCATAATATCCAGCAATGGCAGCCTGCCATTTGCTGGGCACATATTTTTCAGTAAGGTAGTTTGGCTGGTGTGCAGTAAATAATGCAGGTTCAGAAACTTGCCATTCATCAACCAAGGGAAAGCAAGTGACCTACAAAATTCTGGCCATGTTGTTCCACATTCCCTTTTACAGAGGTCATGGGGCTCCTGAGCTGTGCTGAAGCATCTTTCATATTCCAAAAATGAGACCTCTGTTGCAATCAGCTGCTGATTAGAGACCTGTTACAGTAAAAGTACCTTCTAACAATTTCACCATCCTTAAAACAATTAAAGAATTTTAAGTCACAGTGTTTTCTTGGTATTGTAGGAGATATCTTGAAACTTAGAAAGTCTGCAATGAGATTCACTGCATTGATTTCAAAAGCTATGTTGACTAAAACATGTCATAATGATTTTTTGTTAAAATAAGACCTAACTAGGTGTGTTTTATTTTTAAAGCTGTCTACCTCTGCAGCACCATGAAGTCATCATGCCAACCCTGCTGTTATGGGGAGAAAGAGATGCATTTATGGAAGTTGAGATGGCAGAAATTACAAGGATTTATGTTAAAAATCATTTCAGATTAACTATTTTGTCTGAAGCCAGTCATTGGCTCCAGCAGGATCAACCTGACATAGTGAACAAGTTGATATGGACCTTTCTTAAGGAAGAGACAAAAAGAAAAAGAGAATGACTGTACATGTTTTAAGAGGTCTACGTAAAAGCTCTTCAGATTTAAAACCTAATTGTTATCAGGGCCATATTTCCAGCCTGCCTTCTATTTTGAGCTCTGTTAGAGAAAAGTGTTTTCATTGTACTGTATATTTGGACACTAATGTTACAGCTAAAAGAAGTGAATTTGAGAATATATGATACCAACATTGGTTTTACTTGTATACTTGTATTTTGCACATAAAAACACCTGCCTTAAGATACATATGTATTTGTACAGAAAGAAAATCATGGAAAGTTGCTTGGTTTTGTTTTCTCTCTTGCTTTACGGTTTTAATGTGTGGTGCCTTTTACAAATTTATAATGAAACAATGGAGTGGTGCCATACTGAAGAAAGTCACGAGTTTTCATTCTAGATTTGCCTGAATTTTTTTAATGTATTTTACCATTAAACAGTAACTAACTCTTTTTATCTATATTTTAGCATACTGAACGATTGAAAATTTTCTGGGGTACGTTTCTAGTCTTTAAGTGAATAATGATACGTATCTTGTTGTATTGTTGAATGCAGCTGCTTTGTGCAATGTGTTTTTCTTTCTTGACTAAAAAATGGGAAATCTGTACACTCAACATGTCTGAACAAGAAAAATGGAAAATTAAGATATAACATGTATCAAATCCACCTCTGTCTAATAAAATGCAACTTACACAACTCTCTTTATCTGACTTCCTGTGGAGAGATTTCTTGCTGAAGCTTAGAACTGCGTTTGAATAGCTGAAGTGTCTGCCCAGTGTGCAGCCCGGACACCCATGCTATGATTGTTGTAGTTTCTTGAAAATAATGCCTCATTGTTGGCATTATCCTTCCTGTGTGAGCAACTACTGTTCTTGTCTCCAAGAACTGCTGCCCAGCCCCTGTGTTTATAGGGACGAAGAGACACAGTCATTACGGAAACAGAGGGTAGAATTAACTTGCGTGTGATGGCAGGAGGGAAGAAAACTGGATGCTAACTAAAAAGGAAAAAGAAGCACAAAATATGAGACCGCAGAATCGGTGAGTCACCTGCCTGTTGGGTTTCCAAAGCCTCTTCCCAGCTCGATGTGACCCTGCAAGGAAGGACCAAGCTGTGCTGTCTGCCCAGTGTCAGTTCGTGGCTGGCAACCTGCTCCCTCTCGGCCACTTCACCAAATCCCAGAGGAGTCTCCTCAGGATCACGACAATGGTATCCATCTTGCCTCTTCCATCCTCGTTTGGTACTTGCCTTCAAGCCTTTTTCCCTGAGTATTTTCAGCACTTATCAACTCAAAATGGTTTCGTGCTTCTTCCACTTACACTCTGAAATTGGAAAGGTTCTCCCTTGCCTCAGGAGGGCGGCATAGAGAGACTTCTACCACCTGAGCAGCAGTTTATTTCTTTGGCAAGGCAGCCGCTGATGGGGAGTGTGGATTTTCCTGCAGAGCACCAGCTGGCTGAGGGTTGCGGCCCGCGGGCTGCTGCCCCTTCCCTGCGGGAGGTGCAGGGGCGGACGGGGCGCGGGCGGCCCTCGAGCCCACGCTCCGTCAGGGCCGCTCCGCGCGCGGGAGGGGCGCGGCGGGGCCGGGCCGGTGAGGCGGGGCAGCGGCCGCCAGGGGGCGCTCTCCCGACGGCAGCCGCGATGGGCCGGGCCCAAAGGCCCCGCCCCCGGGATGGAGGTCCCGCCCCCCGGCACGGACCCCCCGGCGGGGGCGGGGCCGGGCGCAGCGCCGCCGGCTCTGATTGGCGGAGGGCAGCGCTGGCCACGCCCCGCGCGCGGAGCGGGGAAGGCGCCGCGTCCCGCCCCGCGCGGCTGCCGCGGCTCCCGGCGCTGCTCCCGCTGCCCTGGCGGGAAGGCGGGCACGGCCCGCGGCCGCGAGCGCTGTCCCAGCTGTTTCCGTGAGTACGGCGGGCCGCCGCCAAGGGACCGGCTGGTCCCCGCCCCGCGCCTCTGCCGCCGCGCGGGGCGCGGAGCGGAGCGGCGGCCGGCACATGGCGCGGTGCGGCGGCGGCGCAGCGCCGAAGGGCCCCAGCCCGGCGGCGGCGGAGCGGCAGCGGCTGAAGGAGGCGCTGGCCGAGCAGCTCCGGCAGGACCTCGGCAGGTGGGCACGGGGCGGTGGCCGAGGCGGGGGCGGCCCCGTGCGGGGCGGGGACACGCGGTAACGGTGCCGTCCCGCAGGCTGCTGGCGGAGGGGACCCGCTCCGACGTGACCATCCGGGTGGGCGACGCGGCGCTCCGGGCGCACCGGGCGGTGCTGCTGGCGCGGGCGCCACGGCTCTTCGCCGCCCTGGGAGGGGGGCGGCCGCCCCCCGAGGTGCTGCGGCTGGACGGCGTGGGGACCGCGGAGATCCGGCGCTTCCTGCGGTGAGTGCGCGGCCGCGGCGGGACTGATGAGCTGGCCTTGGCACCGCTTCTCTTGTGTCCTGTCTTCTTGCTTCCCAGCACTAGCACCTGTTGTAAAGCTTTTCCTATTCAAGGCAGTATTCTCACAGCTTTCCAACAGCATTGGCAGCGGACTTTTCTTTAACTTCCTTATTTTCCTCTGCCTTTGTCCCTCTGGTGACAGCGCATGGCTGTGCTCTCCACCACAGCATGCTTTTTATGGTATGTAAAGGCTTTTTAGTAGATAAAGAGAAAAAGCAGCCAAAATCCTGAATATACCCTCTAAGATTATCTGTGCCTACTAAAACTCTTCTTAGCAAGATTCCCTAATGGAAACAGAAAAGAAAAACCGCTGTCAGGTCATGCGTAAAATAAAAAAGTTATGGATACAGAAACCTAGGAGAGCTTCATCAAGTTGGATGAAAATGCATCAAAGCTAGAAACTCATCACTCAAGCCCTAATGAGCCATGGGCTAGGCCAGAGACGGCACAGCTTTGATCCGAGCTGGGATCCCAGAGGGAGGCGTGTGGGCTGGCTGCTCCCCAGGGACTGGTGCAAGGGCCAGCGCGTTTTTGCACTGCCAGCTGTTTTCCTATTGCCACACATGCAACATCTCTCATGTCTTGCTCCAAACCTTAGGTGAGTTATGTGAGGAGTGTTGCCACCAGACCTTGCAATCCTCCTCGTTATAAATGCCTCTCACCTTCTTTCAAAGACCTCCTTTTCTCTAACAAAGCTGCAGCAGTGCCAACTACTTTCCCTAACACAGCGTTGGTGTGAAGTGGTAGGCACTCTGGGATTTCACATGAATTCAGGATGTGCCTAGAAAATGTAGGTACCTGCAGGCTCTTGAGATTGTTGGCAAGAGGAAGGGGGGGAGGGTGTTGCAGTTTTAAAGTTTAGTGCCTGAAATAGTCTGACCTCTCCCTATTGGTTTTGTTCATTCTCTCCTTAAATTTGTAAATAAGGCAGCGGATAGCTAAAAATATGTATTCGGAGTACTAAAGTTATGATAATTATGAAAGAAAACTTTTTGAACCCAGAGTAATATCTGAAACACAGAATCATTGTAGTGGAACAGGTCGATAAACAGGCATTTGTTACGTTACTGTCACAGCCTGGCAGGAGCATTAGCAAAACAAGTGGTAAGAAACAAAACAGCATGGGTTTTGTCTCGTATTTTTCCTGACTCCATTATTACTTTGCTATAACTAATTTCTTTCACTTCACATAAGAATTTCATGGAGAAGTATGATATTGCAAATTTTAAAAAATCAAATTAATTTGGACATAATTATTTGGAATAATTATTTTAATTATCTATATACTGTTATAGTATTTTTTTTGTTTTCCTAATGGTAAGCACTTAATATGCCTACAGTCCACTGATACTTGCTTTCAATTTTGTCTGTGTTTGCTAGAAGTCAAGTAATGATGTCTAGAGTCCTGCATGTTCTCCAAAAAGGATGGTATTGAAAAGCACCTTTAAACTCAGCTCATCTCATTATAAACCTTTTATCTTTTCACAGTGAGTTTAGATTCTTCAAATGAACCTCCCTATATGTTCTAAGATATGTATGAAATGTGTTTTGCAAGCTGATTGCTTTTTCTTAACTTAGTCTTCAGTGCTGTTTGATACTTCACCTTTTGAGTCTTCTAACCTAGCACATGCTGTGAAAATTTGTGCCACAGAGTGCACTGAAGTTTGACAACAGTGAACTCCTTTGGACCAAATAAAGGAAGCAGCCTTAGTTGAAAAGAGCCTAATTCATTGTTGAAATGACTTCTGCTAGTATCAGTGGCTGTCGAATCTCAGTGGCTTCTTGGATGCTAATTAATTAATCTTCACAAATGCAAAATGGTGCCTTTAAATTACAGCTTCAGGTTTACCAGAAGCCAGCCTATTTCTTGGAGCACGTGAACCACCATGATGAGTTGTAACAAAGACCTGTAGCTGCAGCTGAGCTCCTGGGAGAAAGATGTTGTGTTCTACAAAAGTTCTGGTTTTGTATGGAGAAGTGGAACGCTAATATAGTATTGAAGAGTTCATCGAAGATATAAAAAAATCTCATTTCCTTTCCTGTTTGTATTCAGCTTTTCTTTTATCTTCCCAAGTAAAAATTATCTTTCCTTGGGGATTTGGGAATTTTCTTTTCTCACGGGCTATATCTGGCCTGCATCTCAGTGAGGCAGCACTTCCTTTGGGCCTCTGTCTCTCTTCATCAGGAGAGATGTGGGCTGTGTGTCACTTGTGTGCTGAAGGCTGTGCAGCTCCTCTTGCCAAACTTCTGAGCATTTTTGAGCAGGAGGGAGGACGTGGTGAGCTTCATGCAGATCTTTCTGCATAGCCCCAGCATGAAATAGAAGAGCAACTAAGCAGTGTTTTGTTTCCCCCCATACACTTGAATATCTGAGGACACCAGGAAGTGCAGCATCCATATTGTAGACACTGTGCACCCTGTGTTTTTGCCTGATTAATGTAATATTGACTGTGCCCTCCAATAGCCTCCTGTCACTCTTCAGGATGCCACTAGAAAAATGTCATCAATTCCAAGTACATGGATGGCAGGAGATGACTGCCTAAGCAGGGTTCTGCAGTGCGCCTCAGGAAGAAAAACTTAGCATCCCTGAAGGACAACAGTCAGTCACAGATCATTAGATCGTTACTATCTTGTAAGCTGGGAGGCAAACCGCTTTTTATTTTCCCTTGCAGTTGGAAAAAATACAGCTTTAGCAATAAAAAATCTAGTTATTATTGTCTCTTGATATTTGTATTGAAGGCAGCTGAGTCAGGGAAGGACAGAGAGGGGCCTAATGACAGATCCAGTTAAAAAGCAATAAATACAATCAAATACAAAGAAATACAATTGTCATTGTGACATTTACTGCCACAGGGGTTAATTTGCTATACCAGCAGTTGATTCAATGTAGACCAGCCAAGGCTTCGACCGTGTTATGCTTGTAGAGTTCTGTGTCAGGCAGTACAAGGATGCCACATCTCTCTTAAGTGCAGGCAGAAACATTTTGGAAGGTAAACTCCTAGACAGCATGATGGCAGTAACTTCTTTCTGCAGAGTCTCTGTAAACCTTTCCTTTGTATAAAAAAATCTTAGGCTGTAGTAACTGCTATGAATACAACAGATACCCTATAGCATGTTCCTGTTTCATCTGTCACCTGGCCACACCTCTTGCAATCTCGTTGCTCATGTCTATCAGAATCTTTTCTGTGTGCAGGGGGGAAAAAATCCCCAAGCCATAAGGTGAGATATCTGTTAAAATTACACAACATCATACTGACGTTACAGAAGGTGATGGCTTAGCTCTGTTTTCAGCTTGACATTCTCTTGCACGTGAGGTTTTCATAAAACAGTTGCACCAAATACAGCACTTTTGTTAGTATTTGTTCTTTAAATACAATTTCCGGTTACAGTTCCATACCACTGGATTACGAAGTAGTGAAAAAGGGAAATATTTCTTTAAATAACTTGTGCATGAATTTATTCTTACTGATTCCTAGATTGTCATAGTCCGCATTGGATAATGGCTACTTTGGAGGAAACAAACCTGACTTATGCACATGTACACTGAATTCCTTTATGTTTATGCCTCAGCAATCTTACCCTTAATATCTAGGCTTATGCTTTCCCCTCTAGTGGGTTGTGATTGCAGACCACTCTTTCAGAAGAATAGCATGCCTCCCATGTTCTTGAAATTTTATGGTTTATACAAACTATTCTGATATGGTCTTTCCCTTTTATCCTGTTACCAGCCGTGCCTATTGATGTGGTGCAGCGTACCGTGCAAGGAGTATCTTCTCTGAGTGACTGATTCATGGAACTTGTAAACAAGCTAACTGCATAGGGCTTTCTGTGGCACTTACAGGTGCATTTTTTGGCCCAGCAACTATTCTTTTCATATTCTTTCATAAAGGAATCAGTGATACAGCTGAAAAAAAAATTCATCCCTCCTAAAAAAAAATAGAGTTAACAAACCTTGCCCTACTAATGTGGCAACATGGGAACTGTCTTAAACTTTGTGAAACAATAAGTCCTGAATTGTGGAAATTAAAATACTCTGTTAAGACTTATCTCTAAAGAACAGTGAAAACTGAGAAAGTTGAGAACAATTATTGTGAATCAAAGTCTTTAT